CTGCATGCATCATCGCAAGTTACGTCTGTCAGGCTCCAGAAGTCATTAATACTAAGTTCACGTCGTGAACTCTGACACATCGTTGGGGTTCGTGCCCTGAACTTCATAAATTCATATCTTTCGCATACGAGCTCTGTTTTCGACATTATTTATATGCACGCGTAGGTAAAAACAAGATATACAACTTTCATTTAGATTCTAGCGGCTAATTCTTGACCGATTTTAAATTTAACAGTAGGAGGAGATTAGACTGTTAAATAACCGCGAAGAATTCGTAACATAAATCATAGCAATGGCTGGTGGTGTAAAGATCTGGAAGAAAGCGGTAAAAGGAAGCTATATGGAGACAACGACAACAGTTTGCAACAACAGCCACTACCTCACGGTGGTGGCGACGGTTTCTTTTGTCTTCTGCTCGGTGATAGGTAAACACACGCGAGCGCATGCCGGACTGCATCTAACCACCTCCACCATTGCGGTGGCAGGCGGCGTTATAAATAAAAGAGGAAAAGGAATGGAGGATGGTGGCGATGGCGATGGAGATGAAGTAGGGGTATAACGATGGAGAGGTGGCAGCGAACGTCGGCCACTGTGGTGTCTACAACTGGCAGCAGCCACGCGACGGTGAGATACCCGACTGATCTATGTCCTAAGGTGGGTCCTCGCCCCACACAACATCGGAGCAATAGCGGACGTCTTCAATTTGGTGGCTCCCAACTTCGTTGTTAACTGGAAAAGATGGTGACGCTAGAGTGGTGACGGAGGAAGAATGGTGATGTAGGGGTGGTGCGGCACCGGAGTTGAAGGAGGAGTGGTGATGGCGGAAGAATGGTGATGTAGGGTTGGTGTGGCGTCGGAGTTGAAGGAGGGGTGGTGTTGGCGGCTGACTTCCCGATCCTAGGGTTAGGGTTTTGAACCCTTAAATACCCGCTCCATCTAAAAGTTTGCCATATTGACAACAACAGTCCCTCCCTTCACATTTTCTTTCAAAGCAAGGCCAATATTTACCATTTAAACCCTGAATCCATAAATTTCTTTCATAATAAGTCCGGATTTACTACACAAACCCTATCTTCTAAAATCTTTACGAAACTAATCCAGAATTTACAAAACCACCCTTTGTTTGACAATTTCTTTTCAATTAAGGTCCAATGCTCAAACTTCAGCCATGTTAACATTTTTAGTCCCTGCCTTCATAGATATTTACGAATCTAATATGAAACTTTACACTTTAACCCCCGACTTCTAACATTGTAGCCTTTGGCTCCCGGAAACCAACACCTTGTTATATAATTATTTATTTTAGGGCTACTATTCATTCATTATTTTATTTATTTATTTAAAAATAAACGAGTGTTACATCACAGTGCATATAATTGAAACAAAACATCATTATCATCACATATGCAAAATTACAACTGTTAATGTTTACATCAAGTATTGTATGTCAATATTACATGAAAAATATCCAAAGTATGGCGATGACAAATCACAACAAAATATCCAGGTATTATTGCTGACCAACCTGCTCAACGATTTCTTGAGAATACAACTTAATTTAAAAAGGTCAACATATATAATGTTGGTGAGTTCACAAGCATGTTTGAGTAAAATGTTTTGTATTACTTTGTAACTGCCAGAAAATCCGATATTTTCCGAAAAACGGTTTGAAATGTTTGTGTCCGATCTTGTATTAATGCATGTGTGTTAATGTTTGTAAGAATATAAAGTGAATGATCCCAGAAAACCCAATGTTGTCTGTTTATGAAAACGTGGTGATATCAACCAGTGCGTGTATGTTACCGTGTTATCCATAAAAAATTGTTTCCTGTAAATTTTATAATGGTGTTCATTCCTCTAAGTGAGTCGTTATAACCATACTTGATAATTACAATTCCGCCTGTCATGATGTCTTTCAAACGCCGACTTGTTTAAGGTAAGGTTTGTCACCCTAGACTGACCTAATCTAACTATAGCGAACAACTCAGGTGTGGGGTGTCACCCCATTATAGATCTATACAGAGACTCCATCTCTCTCTCTCTCTCCAGTAGACTCTGGTTATAACTACTGATAGCTTCATTTTATTACTTCTTTCCGTAGTTTATTTTTAGTTAAAACCATCCCATTTTAGTTAATCATCATGCATATTTTCTCTTTTTGTTATTTTTCTCCTTTACCGGGTACTTTCCAGTCTTTTGAGCTTATTTGCAGGATTTATCGAAGACTTTTTGTTATTGGTGGCTTAGAAGGGTGTGGGACTTATAGAGGCTTGCGGTTTGCTTGTGGATTTGGAGTGGTGCGATTAGGATTGGTGCTTGCATTAAGAAGAAATCAATTTAGACCTAATTTGTGAGCAAGGATGATGATGAGGTGACGCGGAATCGAGCTACAAGAAAATTTAAGAAGTATTGGGTCAATCATTAGAAGGCTTTGGAATGGCACAAATGGGCTCTAAAGAGTTATGATTGTGGGCTGAAGTTGAAGAATTGAAGATTGGGCTAGAATGCATGATTAATGGCCTAAGTCTCACATTCAGCGTGACCCACGCGGTCTGCGTGGACTCATACGCGGTCCGCATGAATTGTTCTGAGCTGATTCCGGGTTTGACTTGTTGACTCTATATGTGGAAGTTTTGTGGGTGGCTTTTGGCACCTTTTTGAATCTGGAAATCAGCTCCCTTTTGTTGGATATTGGAGCCATTTATGGGAGGGATCACTTAAAGAACATACACCATATTCTCTCTCAAAAAGCCTTGGAAGATTTGAAGAATTTTTGGAAGAATAGTGTAATTTCCTTCCATCTTGCATCTAAGACAATGTTTGGTACCACTAAAATATATTGTTTTTCTTTTACTTTGGTCATGCTAGGCTAAACTTTCATTTTTGGGAGGGATCACTTGAAGAACATACACCATATTCTCTCTCAAAAAGCCTTGGAATATTTGAAGAATTTTTGGAAGAATAGTGTAATTTCCTTCCATCTTGCATCTAAGACAATATGTGGTACCACTAAACTATATTGTTTTTCTTTTACTTTAGTCATGCTTGGCTAAACTTTCATTTTTGGGAGGGATCACTTAAAGAACATACGCCATATTCTCTCTCAAAAAGCCTTGGAAGATTTGAAGAATTTTGGGAAGAATAGTGTAATTTACTTCCATCTTGCATCTAAGACAATGTTTGGTACCACTAAACTATATTCTTTTTCTTTTACTTTGGCCATGCTTGGCTAAACTTTCATTTGGTTGATTAGGGTTTAACCCTTGGTTGATTATTTGCTTTGAAGACTTATCATTATATTGTGTTTGAAGTTTATGGAAATGTTTTCTAATTAATCATCTTGTTGTGTTTATTTATCTTTGATCATGAGCTTGGATGAATGAATGCTTGTTTTTGTTGACTAATTTCTTGTTTAAGTAATGGACCTTCAAATTAGTAAGCAACAAATGGTTTATATGTTTGTTTTCATTTCATTTAGACCATGGAAATGTTTCCTCTATAATGATAATGTAAACATTTGATTATCTTTTGGACTTGGTAACTCTTACAACTTAAAGCTAATTGATTTTCACAAGATTTTATGCTTCATTGATTTTGTGACTTCAATTAAGGAAATGTGTTAAGAGCTCCTCTAACCATTTTAATTTCTAAGAAGAGTTGAGGCAATTTGTGCGTATGAATTACTATAGCCAAGTTAAACCAATTCACAAGTGTTATTCCATTAAGTCTAATGATAAGTCAATTATATCATCCATTAGGTGAATTCATGCGGACCGCGTGTACTCGCGTCCCTGTCCGCGTGAGCTGTTGACCAACTTTGACTCGTTTTGCCATTGTTGACCGTAATTTTTAGCCAATAAACTTAATAGTTGGCCCTTTTCCTCTCTTCTTCTTCTCCATTATTATCCCTTAACCTCCATTAGAGCTCCTCCTTCTCCTCCACTAAAACTCAGTTTCCCGTCAAACCGCCAGTCGGAATTTTGCGAGACCACCGCCATTCTTCACCAAATTTAGAGCTCTACAAACCCCACTAAAAAACAGTATGGTCTGTTGTTGTAGCTCGGGGCGCCACCACCACCCTATTTCCACTTTCCGACCGTTTTCCTGCCAACTCCGATCACCTCTCGCGATTCCGACACCACCATTGTACTCCTCTTGGACAAGGCTACAAACCCCACCAAAAATATCTCCCAAAGCTCGCCGAAAAATTTGTTAGAATTTCAAGCCATTGTCAGATTCGTCGGGTTTTCGCGGTAAATTGTTTCTCCCGGGATATTAAACAAAGCTTAAAGCTTGGGGTGGAGAGTTGCAAGATTTTCAAATCCCGAATTTTCGCGCTCAAATTTTGAACTTTCAACAAAAACAAGTACTTTCTTTCCTTTGTTTTAATTGATCAAGATGCATGTCCGTTCATATGCTATTGCATCAAATGAGTTTAAGAATTATTTCTTCCTCTGATTGTTGAATTGCTTTAGAAGTCCATATGGAGTTAATTGGTGGTTTGGATTGACATATTGTTTGTTGAAATTGTGGTTCATGTAGTGGTTATTTTTCATGCAGGAAGTCCATGTCCACATCTAGGAAGCGCCCGGCTGCTGCCCGAGGCAAGGCCCCGGCTAGAAATCAAAGCGATGCTCCCGATATCCCAAGATTTCGGGAAGCAAAGGCAGGCGAAAACTACACAAAGAGCTTGCCTAGAAAGGTTGCATCTACCAAGTTTGTGTGTAGGCCCACGTTCATATCGTTAGGGGTTCTTGAAGGGGTCACCCAAATGTTCCGTAACATTGGGTGGGAAAACCTTCTCAACCTCATGACGCACACTTACGAGCTCCCCACTAGAGAGTTTCTTGCCGATTGTCGGTACGATAGCGAAAAAAGAAAGTCTCATTCCAACTTCTAGGGGGCCGAAGGTACATCGATTTTGCAACGATAAACGACATCTTGGGCTTGCCTTTTTCAAACACATCCACAGTTTTTGACGTCCTACCTGCTGAGTTCAATCACGAGACATTTTGGATGGAAATCACTGGGGGTATCTTTTCGTGTGCCGGTCGGGATAAAGCAACCTCTATCATCCACCCGTGCCTCGGTATTGCCCATCGCATCTTGGTGTGTACAGATTTTTCCCGCAAAGAAGCAGGCCAGGTCACCAAAAATGAGCTCTTCTTCCTTTTGTGTATGATGAGGCATGACAGGCCACCGATCTCGGACTTTTCTTCATTCTTTTTCCACAAATGCGCACACATGAGATCCAAAATGTCCGGTGATATTTTCATTGGGGATTTGTCACACTTTTGGCTCGCGGTCTTGACATCGAGCTCCCAGATGAATACCAGCCTGTTGACAACAAAAATCTTTTGGATGAGCGCGCTCTCATAAACATGCACCACATCCGTCGCTGGAACATGAGCAGCTTCACATGGTATTGTCCTCAAGGGGTCGGGTATCTCGTTCTTCCCGACCTTCGAGTCACCAACTTCACCTTCCACGATCACACTCAGTGGACACTCGCAAGGATCATCACTCAGTCAGTCAATTAGGATGTGCTCCAAGATCAAGATGATAACGAGATGCCTTTGGATGACGAGCCCGATGATAAGCCCACCCATGGTCCACAACAAGCCCAGCCACAAGCCCCTCCAGGGCACTACCCACTCCCCCCCCCCCCAATTTTTCTGAGCGGTTCGAGGTGCTTTTTGTCTCAAACCCAATCATGTCCCAGCAAATGCACCATATGTGGGGGTGGCACCAATCCCAAAACCATTTTGAGAACGTCCCACTTTCGCCTCCCTATCCATACCCTCCACCCACCCATCCTTATCCCCCTCCACCTTACCCTTACCCCTACCTCCAATACCCGTATCCTACTCCCGATCCCCCGGTTTAGGTACTTTCGCCTCGCCCCAAGCATTGAGGACAATGCTTATTTCTAAGCTTGGGGTGGGGTATTCCTTTTCTTTTTTATTTATCATGCATTTTAATTAGGTTGCATAGCATTTTAGTATAAATTGCATTAAAAAAAGATTTTATTTTCTTCTTTTTCATCTCTTATTTTTGCATGGCATCTAGCTTAGGGCATTAGCATTCATGCATTTTTGTTTTCTGTTTATTCTCACCTCTATTGGATGCTATGGAACAGATTCACAGTTATTGTATCATTATTGGTCCAGGATCTTGTTGCTATCTCACCCATCAAACCAGGACCACTAGCTGCAGTTTGGGATTTCATACTTGGGATCACATGTTGGTAGCTTAAAGGGGTAAGTGATCATGTCCAGGTAGTTTTCATGAAGAATTATGCATATAATACTAACGATTGTAGGATATACTATAGCAATGGATGTCTTAGCCTTGCGGTCACTACCGCTGAGAGGATCACACTTGATCATGTTTGAACCATTAGGATGAAGCACTGGTGCTTGTCCCCGAGTAGAATCGATATCCGGTCTCTTTACATCACCATATCTTTTTTCGATTTTCTTAGGATTTTAGAGAGTCTTTTAGTCCACATTTGGACATTTTTATCATTTTTGAAAAAAATCACAAGTTTAAAAAGGAGCTTACATTATATCTTTATGCTCTACACATGGTCATTTTCACACTTAGACCATTCGGATTATATTACTACCCTTTCGGTTCTACTTACACACTTTTGGGAACCAAATTTTGAGTCAAAGGGTTTTCTTGTTAAAATTTTTGATTGTTAATACATTACCTTCAAGTATGGTATATCAAATAAATAAATAAATAAATAAGAAAAAATGGCATGCAAATTGTCAGCTGCAACTATCTTAGATAGGTGGCCGGTTCAGTTATTGAACAAATTTTCCAACATCTTGGTCACTCGGCGTTTGATATTCATTTGTATAGGCCTGTTTTATTGTATATAGATCGAGCTATTTTTCGCAAATTTGTGATGTTAGGGAGACTGCGAGTCGGATACTACGGGAGGTTTGGGCCAACACTAAGTCAGCCGATTCCTACAACGGTGCCCGAGCGATTAAACCTAGTTACACATGAGAGAAACCAGCAGACGTGAGATCATAGTGTGCACTTAAAGAAGAGCTCCACCCGAGCCCATCCAGTTGCTTTCTTCCTACTACAGATGTTATTCATTGTATGCATGTTCCATTGAGGCTGCGACTGACCATCCCTCCTTACTCACCTAGAGGAGTTGTCCTGGCTGTGGTTTATGGTCCCATTGTCATCGGATGAAAAGTTGTGAGATAGCAACGAGATCAATTCTGACCATGTTGACTAACATTGAATAGGTTCCATGGCTTTATCTATTCTTTTTATTTTTAGGGTAGTTCGTCCCAAGTTCATTTTAGT